CCTATACCTTTGGGTTAGGGTTTGCGCTAGCGCAGGGTGTTACGCTCCGTGTAACATAAGGTCGAACTGATCTTAAACGCTCCGCTTGTTCAAGCGCAGAGCTTCCCCACCCTTACACGCTACCCTGGGGCCCCACGTTCTTAGGGCTCCCCAGTCACCACGGACTACCGAGTAGAGGTTGAACCCGTTGCATACGGGCTCCCCGCACTTGACGACCTTTTCTGGAACGATGACCTCCGCCTGTTTGAAGTCAAATCAGACAGTGCAGGACTCGACCGGTACGACCCGGTCCTCGTTTGAAAAGCAACCAAAGACAACGCTCCCACCTGGAACTATCTTAACAACGAACTCAAGGCTTCCCAAAGCTTGACCAAGAAGTTCCTCGACAGCAGAAGACGAATCTCCGAACGTATCCAAGAGATCCACGAACAGAGGCCGGTGAAGGACACACCCGCCACCATCCAACGAGCGGCTTCGCAGAGCCAACCGACGACCCCGATTACCTCGAGAGTAACCTCTCCAGAACCCACCCGAACGACCGCAGGCCCGTCCCGCCTGACCTCACCTCTTGCAGAGAGCGACGACCTCACCACGACAGGCAACGAATCCGAACAGACCAACGAACCAGAGCCGATAGCTGAGGCATCCGCTCCCGAACCCGAATCCGAATCCGACTCAGACTCTGATTCCGACGACGAGATGACGACCATCGCTGAGCTCCAGGCTCAAATCAACTGCCTTTCAGGCTCGACGAAACTTGACGTCCCGAAACCGAAAGGTTTCCAGGGGAAGTCCGACGATGTAGGGCCGTTCATCCAACGAGTGGAGGCCTACTTCAACGCCACGGGGAATGGCCAAACCGACCCCCAACAAAAGATCAACTACGCCATACTGCTCATCGACAGCGACAGCGACGCAAACTACTGGAAGGACCTCCACTATCTGGAGGAGGATGCGGCGCAGGCTCAGGGCCAGCACCGATTCGACACCTGGGAAGAGTTCAAGGACGCCTTCAGGAAGGCCTTCCCCGTTTATGCAGAAGGAGACAAGGCGCTCATGACCCTAACCAGGGTGCGCCAAGGGAGAACGCCAATGACGGCCTTCGTCCCGAAGTTTAGAACCCTCGCCGCGAAGGCAAAGATCACCGACAACGCGGTCCTCGCTGCGCTCTTCAAGCGAGCTGTACGCTCCGACCTCCTC